ACTTGTTAAAATTTGTTCCTCTTGGGAATAAAATGCTATCCAGACTTCTCTTGGATCATTATTTACACTTTGTGAAGGAGTAACTATTGATCGAAGAATTTTGATATTTTGAAAGTTGTATGTAAAGATTTCATCTGATGCTGATTTTTATGGTTTAAAAAAAAAATCTCTGATATTTTTGTTGATAAAAATGGAATATGCTTTTAAAAAACAAAGTTTAAAAATTTCCCTTGCTCACTGATACTGGTTGTAAATGACATTAATACAATAACATTGTAACAAATTAAATTATAAACAAAGTCATTTTGACTGTCTTTATTAAGTTCAGTCTGGAAAGAAATGAAGTAACAAACAGATGTAAATTTGAAATAAAAATTGTTTGCAATCATCTGCTAGAATCACAGGCCTTTGAATCGCTTACATCCGACTTTAAAAAAATCGGGGTGTATAAAAAAGATAAAGGTATGGAACTCCTTACATAGGGTACCCACTTTCGCTTATAAAATTCTTCTTTAAATCGAATGCTCTAAAGTTTTACTTTCTATTCAAATCTATTCATATATAACCAATCTACATTACTATCAAAGTTTATTCCGAAATTCCATGTACTTCCTGAGATATGGTGAAATTAATACCAAAATTGACCTACTTTTTTTCACTCGACATTAGCTTGGGCCCTGGTTATTCACAAGTGTACTCCGTTCTATGACCTATTTCATGGGCGCCGCCATATTTTCATCACGTGACCAGTCGTCCATCGAGGTGCTGATAACGCTGTAAACAAATGCACGCTTTGACTGCCGAGTCATCCTGTATAACGGTGTTTTCCAATCTTTATTAATAGTAGACATGAGTGAAACAAAAGTATACGAAGTTAAATAGTTCTTTAGAGTTTGTGTTATTCATTTGCGTTTATAATTAATGGCTGTGTTAAGAATGGTGTTTTAAAACGTATTCTATGTTGAACCAGCTCCCACTTCTCTGTAACGTTAGCTGAGCGTAGTGTTGTGTACTTATAATTAACCCGTGCCGATAAATGATTAATATACAGTTCAAAATATGATAACTGTAACTGAATATTACCGAATCCCACGAATGCACGATAAATATATCCCAACAGCCCAATTACCCTTGGTCCTGATCCTACTTCTGACTATGGAACCTTTTGAGTTGTTCAGCAATTAAGTGAGCAGCTGAAATGACGATATGGATATGTCCCCATCTCTGATATTTTCTTACCTTTGATCTACATGTAATATGCAAGTGGTTTGCTGACCCCTGCCAGAGACGCTCCCTATGTACATGTAAATTCTGTAAATGACAAATGATAAGTACATACAAGCATAAATAGGTCTACCTCTCTATACTATTTATAGTGTAGAGGGGTAGACCTATATATATACTTATCATTCGTCATTTACAGAATTACTTTGGGAGCTACCCCCCCCCCCCTCTTCCGACAATGTTATTATTCCCTTTGGTCCTATATTTAATGCATACCCTGGTTATTAATTTTTGTAAATAGCATAATATACTGTTTACATATCATACAGCCAAATAGTTCATTTCATTGCATAAACACATTGTAATAACATTTTGCTAAGACATGGAGATCTTACAAGTAGATGTAATATGCAATATGAAGCTTGATAAATTGATACTGAAGTGTGGTGGTCTGGATCTTTTTTTTCTTTTGGTTATAATTTTCTTGTTTTTTTTTTTTTTTACCATTATGATCAAGAATGCCAAGAAAAACCTTCAAATTCTTATGTAATGCCACATGCAGCTTCATGTTCAAGTATATGATTGTAACATTTAAATTGACATTTTTGGCTTTTACAACAAAAATACATCAAGTTCTGCTTTTATTATGTTTACAGCAGAAATTCCTTGGCTGTCTTATTTTTTTTTAATTCAAATTTGATTTTCATCTTTTCATTTTGAATTATGCTAAATTCTGTAAAACAAATAAATCAGAAAATTCAAATTGAAGAAATCTTAATGTTTCAGATCCACCACAATCTTCAGACCCAGGCTGGAGAACAAATGACTTAACAAATTGGCCCCATCTTATGTATGAAGATTTGGTTGATTATTTAATTAACTCAAAGGCCTATGATGGGAAACAAATGAAGTCATTTAGGGCACTGTGGGGCCAGAATTATGTTAACTCAAAGTGGTTGGGAGATGTGCACAGTATAACTGTTGGGCAAAATATGTTTTTGAAAGCAAACGTCTCTCCTTCCCAGCCAGGGACTACACGCCAAGAATATTCTGCCTGGATTTTGGTAGTCCGTGAGGATAACAATTATAGTATAGCAAATGCAAGCTGTACATGCCCAGCAGGTTTGGGCAGGTCATGCAGCCACATTTCAGCTATTGCATATGCAGTTGTAATGGCATGGAGCCAAGGTTTTGCTGGGAAGTCAGTGACGGAAATGCCAGTGTCTTGGGGTAAAGGGGCCAATGCAGCCACCAACGACCATCAAGTTTCTTTAAAAGAACTTGATTTTCAACGACCATCTCAGCATAAGCCCCTAAATCATAATGATGTGATTGAACGTTCAAAGCCTCAAAAAGAATTTAGGTTTAGGAAAGTAGATTCCCATGGGGAATTGATAGAATTTACAAAGAATTCTTCTTTGTCAAGCTTATTTAAATGCTATGGAACCATTGTTAATAAAACCATTAATTCAAAGCCTTTCCAACAAGTTACAGACTACATGTTTGACACAAATGATGTGCAGCATGGCAATCATGACATATATTTTTCAAAGCCAGTCAGTATCTCTGATATTCAATGTGATGTATGTAGAAAATTTTACATGAAATTTGTACATTTTTCTGATAATCAGATTGATGAAATTTGTAAACAAACAAAAGAGCAGAATTCTGAGTTATGGTTAGATAGCAGAAAAGTTAGAATTTCTGCATCATGTGTTAACAAAGTGCCTAAAGCAAGCAAAGCAAATCCTGAAATATTTATTTCTAATCATTTGTATCCAAGATTCAAAGGTAACATTGCAACAATTCATGGTAAAACATCAGAACCTATTGCAAGGGAATCATTCGCAAATACATTTGATGTACATATTCAAAAGTGTGGCACTGTTATCAATAAAACTGAACCTTTCCTTTCTGCTAGTCCAGATGGCATCGTGGATGATGAAACCCTTTTGGAAATAAAGTGTCCACTGAAATTACTACCTGAGCTCTTAACAAGTAAAAGCTACGATATCATACAAGAGAATGATATTTTCACTATCAATAAAACAGGGAGAAATGGATACTATACTCAAATTCAAATGCAGCTTCACTGTACAAAGAAATCATTATGCAAATATTATACATGGTTTTCAAAAAGTGGTGAATCAGTGTGCATTAATGTTCAATATGACAGCAATTTTGTTGAAAATATTTTGCCAAGAATTAGGGCATTTTATTTCAAAAAATTACTTATCAGAATTGTAGATGATTTTGCACAAGGGAGACTTTCCTTCAGTGAAAGTTATGAAAAGTTATGCAAACTGTAAACAACATGTACCAGTGTCATGACTATGCAAAATAAAAGAGAAAAAATTCCTATTTTGTCTTATTTCAAACATTATGGCCTGTTCTTCCAAAACAGGAAATTTTATCAATATTATATTTAACACATGGAAATGTAACAAGTTCAATGCTAAACATTGGAATTATGGTACACATAAACTTTACCTCATTCTTTAATGAGCTGGGGTCTCAAATTGCAAAGAGCACCAACAACTTTAACTATTTTGTTCATTTTCTTGACAGATTTAATAGAAATTGTGCTATTAAGAATTCTGTAGGTTTTCATTCGTCTAATTGCACGCTCGACATGAATTCTAACTGAAGCAATTCTGCGAGACTCGATAACCTCTTTCTCAGTTAACTGTTTTCTACCTCTTAAAAATGAGGGGATATTCAAATTAACACGAAGAGCAAACAATTCTTCACCAATTGTAAATCCCCTATCTGCCATCACTTCATCATTTGGCTGCAAGTAATTGTAGAACCCTGACTTTCTGGTGATAAATTTATCACTAGCTCTGCCACCATAACATTTTGATAGAAACATAATATAACCATTTGGTGCTATGCATACTAGAAATTTCAGAGTGTTGTGTGATTTGTAATTGCTATAGGTGGCAGTTCTTGCTTTTAATGACGGTGGTCTTTGAAGGTACACTTCTGTGCAATCTATAATGCAGGTGGTCTTAGGGTATGTTTCTCTAAATGACTTAGGCATAGATCTCTGAATTGTTTCTTTTGGCAGCCACAATATAAGATCTTTCAAATGAGTAGACAAAAGATTTATCCAGGATTGGAAGATTTTGCTAGCAAGCTGATATGAAATCCCAAACCTTTTACCTAAATCTTGAAATTGTAGTCCAAGACGTAGCCTTACTAACGTCAATAAAACTTGCTCTTTAATGGGAAGTGAATATGGTAAGTGTTCACCATGTACCTTCATCAATTCAACCAATGCAGAGAGGACAGTGAGCGATAATCCTGTATAAAATACAGAATCTTTTTCTGTGCAGATCTGAAATGCTGAAAGCTCACGACAAGTTTGAGTACCTACACTTTTTACTGAAAATGTGAAATTGTAACTGTGATCATGCAAAGCATCCATAGTCTGTGTTTCTACATTTGATTGAGATTTGTAGGTGACACAGGACTCTCCCTGTTGATGGACTATCACAGGTTGTGTCTGAGTAGAGGCTGAGGTACTCATGGTATGAACTGGTGCATCTAAAAGCGGAACTTCTACTCCACTGCTCCCTGCAGCAGATCCAAAACTTTCCTCTTCATCTTGAGATTCATATGTGTTTTCTTTGCCAGTATCTGATGCATGTCTCACTATTTTTCTTCTGCCATGTTTTACCTGTTTAAATGCATAAATTTACAACCCTGCACATGTATGAAAATTTATTGAAAAATCACATACCTTTAAATACTCCAGTGGTGGCCAGCACCATCTTGAAAAATTGTACATTGGAATGCAATGTCATCCAGTCATTGTTCCGGCCAGCAGACAATCACTGGTGATGAGTGAATGACCATCCAAAACAGTTGTTTGTAATTGCAAACTGTATATTCAATAGCAGTTTGACAAATACCGAACTATTCTATTATGATCATGATCAAAATTATGTGCTCTCTAATTATATCTGTAAATAAACATTGACAATGATATTAAAGAGGAAATCTATAAAATTTATAACAATATGCATGCACCTCTTTGTCGTATCCTAGAAAAAGCTGGGGGTCAGGGTTCAGCACTGTTGGGCAACCATCAATGAAATGTACCGAGCACACCTGTAAACATTATATACATGTACGCATTCAGTTTACAGCGTTATATATGTACCAAATATGACAGAAAGCCCGGTCAGCTTGACCGATTTACTAATATATTTGCCAGCTGTTTACAACAATTACTTCGTTTTAAACGTGCAAATGTTTAATTTCTTGTGTAGAATTAATTATATTACTTTTAATACATTATGTTTAAACTACTCTACTTGATCTTTTTTCCCTGGAGTGTACTTCTTCCTATTTATGGCCTTGAGCCATCGCATCTTTGCCTCCTCTTTGCTGGGAATACAAAACATTTTGAATGGAGCCATGCATGGACAATCGTCGTGCTTTATCCCATGTTCGGGGCACACTTCTACCTTCCAGAAATATATATTTTTTTGGTTGTTATTACAACCAATTACTACACAATGCCGTCCACCCCCTTTCTCATACGGCATGTTGTTCCAAGTTGGATCAGCACCGTAATGGCTGCCGCTTTCAGCGCCACCTTCAGGCAAAGGGCACTAACTCTTAAAAAATTACCAGATAGAATGGTGTATACAGACGGTGTTTAGCTGCACAGTATTGTGCACAATCTTTCAACTTTTTTAAAGTTGATTTTTTTTAATCCAGATCGTAAGGTTAAGTTAGTAATAATTCCTTTCGCGAAAATTTTTTTTAGAAAACGTTTGCTTAGGCAATATTGCCGTCTCGGCGTTAAACCCTAATCAATCAATCAACAACTTCACAGCCATGTTGTTTATTAATGTAAAAAGAACTATGATTGAACGAAATATTCCCGGAATGTATAATGTACCTTTTGATTTTTTAAAAATTATACCGCTAAAATGTTGGTGGTAACTTAGTAAGACCATATGATCAAATAAGATAAAATTCTGTAGAGACCGAGTGCTAATACACAAATATTCAGAGTATAGAATAAATTCCGGGAAGAATTCGTCCCGTCGGTCCCGCTTTACAATTAGTGTAACTATTCAGAGGCCCAAGCTAATGTCGACTAAAAAAAATTTAGCTTCAAAAATTTTGCATCAATGAGTTTACATATAATGGAAGTGTTCTTCAAACAGTATCAAAATTTTGTTATCTTGGATTAACCTTGAAATGTAATGGAAATCTGAACTTAGCTATGTCAGTACTTATGGAAAAGGCCAGAAAAGCCTATTTTAAGATTAAGAAAACCATTGGTTTGGATAATCCATGTAAACGTTTGGAAAAACTCTTTGACTCAATTATAACACCAGTTCTTCTTTATTGCTGTGAGATCTGGGGTATTTATAATAACATTGGTGAAAATTCTATAATTGAAAAATTTCACATGAAGTTTATTAAGGAAATTTTAGGAGTAAATTGTAAAACTACTAATGCTCCCTGCAGAGCAGATTTAGGTAGACATCCCCTGTGGACAAGAATACATTTTTCAAGTATAAAATTTTGGAACCATCTTATTACTTCCAAGAATACTTTAGTATTTAAAATCTATAAAGCAACAGTCAAAACAAACTCATGGACTAAAAATATTTTTTTCAATTTTCAATAAGTTAGGATTTTCATTCATTACCAAAAAAGAAAATTCAATAAAATCACTTCCGAGAAACAAAACAAAGAATATCAGATCAATGCTTACAAGAGGAATATGCAAAGATTCATAATTCATCAAAACTAAAATTTTATCAAGTTGTTTTTAATAATTTCAAACGCTGTGGATACACTGATATATTAAAAAAGAAAACAGAGAGATCAATTATTAGCAGGTTGAGACTTAGTGCACATAACCTTGCCATAGAAAAAGGGAGACATTTGTCTATACCCACAGATAAAAGATTTTGTAATATTTGCAACACAGGGGAGATTGAAGATGAATTTCATTTTCTATTCAGCTGCCATAAATACAACTAGTGCTAATTGTAACGGGAACCGTTACAGATGTTCCCCAAACGGCTCCCCAATCCCTTATGATGCCCCATTCCCTATAAGCTTCAATGAATTAGACAATACTTTTGTAATATAGATGGACACTTTATTTTTAAGGGTATTTCATTGGAAAACTACTCCGATATAGCCATATGGTTATCAGCCAATAAAATTTCAGTGCATGTGTTTCCGCATGTTTTCTACATTTTTCACATTAATTTTCTTATAGTGTCTCACAATACAGACATTTGTGTTAAATATTAAAGAATCTCATTGAAAAATAAGAAAGATGTAACCCTTTAAGTATTAGCCAGTCAGAATTCAGCATACGCACATGCATGGCCTTGCATTCAATTTTGATAGTATCATAATGTAGGAGCAGGAGCTCTATGTGCCTATCCATGTCGTAAATTTCATCCTGTTTTGTTGAAAACCAAGGGAGTTATAGACATTTAAAGTTTCAACCAATTAGATTGCAGCACACCTGCATGCGCGTGTTTTCAAGAAATTTCCTATATAACATGTTGTAGCACCTTATAATATATACTTATATTCTAAATTTCAAAGTATTTTGTCAAAAAACAAGGAAATTATTGAGATTTTGGTATCAGCCAATCAGAGAAGAGTGCACGTGCATGCGCGTGAGTTCACGCTAATTTGACCATGTTATCTTGTCTAGACTACTAATATATCTTTATATTTTGAGTTTCAAAGCAATTCATCAAGAAATATAAAAGTTACGGCTTCATCTAGTATATCAGTCATTTCACTTATTGCACGCTCGCGCACGTGCATGCATGTGCGCGCAAAATGACCTTCGTTCCGAACACCTACACAACATACCTATTAACCCTAAAAAGGTTGCATGTCAATCGGATGAGTGGTTCTATGAGAACACTCCCGGACAAAAAAGTACCGGAGAAGAAAGTAGAAAAAAAAGAATAATAATAATAATAACTAGTGCTAATTGTAACGGGAACCGTTACAGATGTTCCCCAAACGGCTCCCCAATCCCTTATGATGCCCCATTCCCTACAAGCTTCAATAAATTAGACAATACTTTTGTAATATAGATGGACACTTTATTTTTAAGGGTATTTCATTGGAAAACTACTCTGATATAGCCATATGGGTATTAGCCAATCAAATTTCAGCGCCTGTGCTTGCACATGTTTTCTACATTTTTCACATTAATTTTCTTATAGTGTCTCACAATACATACATTTGTGTTAAATATTAAAGAATCTCATTGAAAAATAAGAGAGATGTAACCCTTTAAGTAATAGCCAATCAGAATTCAGCATACGCACATGCATGGCCTTGCATTCAATTTTGATAGTATCATAATGTAGGAGCTCTATGTGCCTATCCATGTCGTAAATTTCATCCTGTTTTGTTGAAAACCAAGGGAGTTATAGACATTTAAAGTTTCAACCAATCAGATTGCAGCACACCTGCATGCGCGTGTGTTCAAGAAATTTCCTATATAACATGCTGTAGCACCTTATAATATATACTTATATTCTAAATTTCAAAGTATTTTGTCAAAAAACAAGGAAATTATTGAGATTTTTGTATCAGCCAATCAGAGAAGAGCGCACGTGCATGCGCGTGAGTTCACGCTAATTTGACCATGTTATCTTGTCTAGACTACTAATATATCTTTATATTTTGAGTTTCAAAGCGAGTCATCAAGAAATATAAAAGTTACGGCTTCATCAAGTATATCAGTCATTTCACTCATTGCACGCGCGCGCACGTGCATGCATGTGCGCGCAAAATGACCTTCGTTCCGAACACCTACACAACATGCCTATTAACCCTAAAAAGATTTCATGTCAATCGGATGAGTGGTTCTATGGGAACACTCCCGGACAAAAAAGTACCGGAGAAGAAAGTAGAAAAAAAGAATAATAATAATAACTAGAAACTCATTGCGAGCAATGAGAGGTCTTCCGTCCGATTCTGAAAATAAAAACGAAAATTCAAGCTGAAAAAGAGATAAAAGAAATTCAGACACTCTGTAAATTTAACCCTTGTCGTCAGCGTGAAAATCCAACTTGCTAACGTTAACCATTCATTTTTTACATCACTTCCGGTCACGACCGGAAGTACCAGAAGTAACGGCTATACAAGATTTTCTCACGATTCATATAACTGATGACTGACCATCAGTCTTGAAAGTTTTAGACTTCAGTCGTTTACTGTTGCCGAGCAATATTGTGAGATCAAATTCTAATTTTGAGGACAGGTAAACAAGAGACCGGAAGTGAATTTTATAAAAATCTTTGACTTTTCTCTAGACATTTGCAATATATACAACATACATAAAGTCATTTCAAGTACTTTATCAATGAGCAATATTTATGAGAAAGTTAAATATCAAAGTAAAGTAGTTTATCTCCTAAAACCGGAAGTTGACGTTTTTGTTTCCGGTGGATTCTAACATATTTCTAAACAGCGAAAGAGATGCAATAAAGTGATGCAAGCATTAATTTAAAAAAGAAAAGTTAATTTTTTTTTTAGATTTCTTTGATCACTTACTGTGACAAGCGGAAGTGACGACTGACGCGTTTAACCCAAATGGTTTTGCCTACTCCTCAAGGTCTATTACTTATAAAAGTTTGGTGTTTTAATCTTTTACCTAGTTTTGAGATCTCGCTCAGACAACTTCACATTTTGAGGACAGGAAAACATGCGACCGGAAGTGAATTTTTGAAAGATATTTACGATTACTCTAGACATT